AAACGAACGCAATAACAGTACCTGACAGTGAGGGATAATCATCGCAATGAGCGGTGCACTAATTCTTTTTTCTTCTCGCAATTCTCAACTGCTAAATTCGTTAACAGCCGCCATTCATCTATATTCTCATTTACGTTTCCAACCGCTCTTTGCTTACAAAAGAAGGAACGAACCTGAAAATAATAACGTCATATTTTTACTCACTCAAAGCATCGTTAAAGTTAGAAATTCACTAGAGGTCAATCAGGCTAATTTTATCTAATGCCACAGTATAATTAAATATTTTTGATGCAAAGCATGGCAATATTTTTTTCAAAGTTTGATAAAATTTTTTAGCCTTGAAATACCGTATATATGTACATTATTACTGTAAAATTTTTAGAATCAAAGACTGAATAATGTCTAAAACTTCAGTTGGTAACCAGTGTAATAGTTATTGAAAAAAATCAAAGTCAAACTATGCCAATCGACAACTAATAAAATTCTCTGACCATCCATGTGTTGATATCGTTCGCATATTTTCATGAGCGTTTGTTCGCTTCGAATTGCTTATTTTTGGTAATCCTGCAAAATTTTCAATTGTCAATCCATTGGAGCGCATCCACTTCGTGTCTTCTGATGATACCTATACTGAAAAATATTACAAAAATTGGTGGCATATATTTTGTTCAAACTTGATCATATCATTATTTAAAAGATATTGACAATCATTTGCTCATTTACTGCAACAAAAATCCAATAATGCGTCATGAATGTTATTACGTGAGTCGTACTTGCGAATGAATGTATTGACAGCGGTTGTTTGACAAGCTTTTAGCTTATTGTATTGCTTAATTCAAAGAAACACGAAATATCCTAATATTCTGAATTCTTACCAATTTTTTAGCAGTTTTTTCACTTGAACCCATCATTCTCGTAGAATTCCTTATCGACCTTCTCGTCAATTCTTCAAAGTAATTATCTCAATGTCAGATACAATGAAAATTGAAGTAAAAAAATAAACGCAGGAGTAATGGGAATACTGCGTTTGAATTGAATATTTGGATAAATAAGACTTCATTGATCAATAAAATTAAAAAGTAATTAGTATAATACTAAC